GAGAACATCCGATATGGCCGAACCGACGTGACGCAGGAGGAGATTGAACAAGCTGCCAAGGAAGCAAACGCTTATGACTTCATTATGAAGCTACCCGATGTAAGGCAACACTTACAATTCCTCTGTCCCTGTAAATGATTGATCTCCACTTGCTAATCATTGGACTCTCTGTGTTGAGCAGAAGTTTGGGACTCTGGTGGGAGATCGGGGGACTCAGATGAGCGGAGGACAAAAGCAGAGGATCGCCATCGCCCGAGCTTTAGTCCGCAACCCCAAAATCCTCCTGTTGGATGAAGCCACATCTGCGCTCGATGCTGAGAGTGAGACCATCGTGCAGGCGGCGCTTGATAAGGTACGGCTCAACGGTTACTTAATTCTTGTTTCAAGGCTACTGTTAAAAAAAATAAAAATAAATGGAGACCGAGCAGAAATGTTAACTCATGTCCAGAGGAGCAATCCGTCCGATCTGACTTGATTCATAGTCTTGTATAAATGTCTCCTGCATGGATGGTGGATTTGAGCCACAGTGCACATAAACCGACCCTCCTGCAATAATTTAACAGTTTATGTTAAATGCTTGTGTACCTCACATCAGAGCAGCATGCTAGTAACATTTAACTCAGTGTAACACACAAACTCGCCCGTGTGCAGGTCCGGTTGGGTCGAACCACACTAATCGTGGCTCACCGCCTTTCAACAATCAGAAACGCTGATGTTATTGCCGGCTTCAAAGATGGCAAGGTTGTAGAGGTGGGAACTCACAGCGAGCTGATGGAAGGAAAGGGAGTCTACCAAACACTGGTCTCCATGCAGGTAATATTTTCACACAGGCAGCTTTAGCAGATGGGAACTTCCACAGCACCCAGTCTTTATTTGTTTGTTTTGCATTTGTGGTTTTCCTCTTGAAGACGTTTCAGAAAAATGCGGAGGAGGAGCATGAGCCGTCTGCAGATGAGAGAAGCCCAGGAGTCAGGTCGTTGTCTGAGTCTTCTCTCTTCAAGAGGAAGAGCACAAAAGGTGCATCCTTTAAAACTTCAGAAGGGGACAAAGAGGAAAAGAAAAAGTTGACTGGTGATAACTTGGAGGTGAGCAAACACCTAAATCCTTCTATCAATAAAGGAATGTGAAGAAAATATGATTCTTAGTCTAAGATGTTTTAAAATATATATATATATATATTATTGTTATTTTCACTTGGATGAGTGTTCACACCTCTTACTTTTTCTGGAAACTAATAATTGAATTATACAGTACTATTTATTTTAAGACATGGGGCTGCAATTTATTCTCTTAGGCAGTTTCTTTAAGTAGTCTTCAGGAAACATTCTCCAGGCTTCTTGAAGGACATTCAAAACTCTTCTTTGGATGTTTGCTGCCTTTTGTTCTGTCAAGATGATCCCACATTGATTCGATAATGTTGGTTTGGGCTCCTAGACTGATTATGATCTATTGTATGTTTCTATCAACTATACTTTTACTGCATTAGCAATGTGTTTGGGATCGTTTTCATGCTGAGAATTTACTTATACACACCATTCATTCATCACTTGCATTAGAAGCCTTTTTAATCTTTCCTCCTGTCTGCAGGATGAAGACGTTCCCCCTGTGTCGTTCCTCAAAGTGATGGCTCTGAACACTTCAGAGCTGCCATACATTCTGCTGGGGACCCTTTGTGCCATTATCAATGGTGCAATACAGCCTGCGTTTGCCGTCGTCTTCTCAAAGATCATCAATGTAGGTTACTCTTGATAACATGTTCATGCTGAATGGAGGTGTTTTCAGCAGCTGTAGAAAGCTTCATCTTTTTATCTCCCCTCAGGTGTTTGCAGAACCGGACCAAGACATTGTCAGACAAAGATCAGTTTTCTTTTCCCTCATGTTTGCTGCTATTGGAGCAGTTTCCTTTGTCACCATGTTTCTACAGGTATGCAAACGCACGCGGTTGATGGAAGAGGGTTTGTGGTAAACCTTGGTAAACTCTGTTATATCCCGCTAGTAAGTAATGTAAATAAAAAGGTTAAAAATGAAAGGGAAATGGTCACACAGGTCCCTGTCAAACTTTAGGAGAGTGCACACAAGTTGAAAGAATGCTGATGTGACAACACATGTGGATGATGTGACACGTGTGCTAATTTCATGGGGGGGGGGGGGTTGTGTGGTTTGTTTTGTTTTGTTGTTGTTTTTTAAATCTATTTATTTTTTTATTCATTTATTTATTTTTTTATTTTTTTTTATTTTTTTTCAAACAGGGTTTCTGTTTTGGTAAATCTGGAGAGGTCCTCACCTTGACACTGAGACTGAGGGCCTTTAAGTCCATGATGAGGCAGGTATGTAAGTGACAAAGTCAAATGAGAGAGCAGGGAGGATGTTGTTGAAAAATACATTTTTCTTGGTGGCTAAAGTGAACCAATTATCTACATGGCAGCCGTAATAAAAGCTGGTCAGGTCCTTCAGTGCTTCTTTCAAATCTCCTTTGCAGGATCTGGGCTGGTTTGACCAACCAAAAAACAGTGTTGGTGCGCTCACTACGAGACTGGCCACAGATGCAGCCCAAGTGCAGGGGGTAAGCTTCAACAACAGCTGGCCAAAGGTTACCAAAGGCTCACACTAAAGTGTCAAATCATCCATTTAGGCCGCAGGCGTGCGTATGGCCACACTCGCTCAGAACTTCGCCAACATGGGCACCGGTTTGATCTTGGGTTTTGTGTACGGCTGGGAGCTGACTCTGCTGCTCCTGTCTCTGGTGCCCATCATTGCAGTGGCTGGAGCCATTGAGATGAAGATGCTCGCCGGACACGCTGCTGAAGACAAGAAGGAGCTGGAGAAGGCTGGAAAGGTGAGGATTGGGTGCGAGATGTGCCAGAGTGAAAGTAAAAATTCCTCACGGCTCAGTCTGTTGAAACTCTGAACTCATGAGATATTTGCATTGCGTCTCTTCAGATTGCCACAGAGGCCATCGAGAACATCCGCACCGTGGTCTGCCTCACAAGAGAGGAAAAGTTTGAAGCTTTGTATCAGGAGAACCTCGATGTGCCCTACAAGTACGATAATTTGTACCACAGGGACCTGATTGCTCAATTATACGCTCTTTAAGTTCTGATGCCACCTTTCTCATGTTTTTACAGAAACTCAAAGAAAATGGCACACATCTACGGCCTCACCTTCTCCTTTTCCCAGGCGATGATCTATTTCGCTTATGCGGCCTGTTTCCGTTTTGGTGCTTGGCTCATTATAGCTGGAAGGATGAGTGTCGAAGGGGTCTTCCTGTGAGTGAACTGAGACATTGGCTTGTATCTTCATGAGGAGATTAACAGGCAGCCTGACAGTTTGCGTGGCGGGTAACATCCAAACAAAGCATTTCTGATGGACAGAACCTTTTCATGTGGCTGTTAATCATTATCTTAGTCAGAAGCAGTTGAAGAGCCTCAGCGTGGGTGGCTTTCAAATGTACACTGTGACAGATACTTGTGGTAATACATCAGACCCTCTTTTGCTGGGAGGAGCCACTGCTTTCATTTATATTGTGTTGCATAAACTGGGAAGTCCAAAGTTCATGGCAAACCGAAGCCTCAGCGTCCATAAAAGAAGAAAATATTAACTCTTTACCTCTTAATGAACACTGTACACCCAACTGAGGCTGATTTAATGTCTCTGAGCTTTTTCCCACTCTCCAGGATGGAATGATTGCACAGCATTACTGTAGTAAAGTGAATTTTGGATCCACACAGGCTCCAATATATACAAACAACCCCACTAATGTTTGGTTAAATGTGCCTTAGAAACGAGCCTCTGGCATCATTTAATCACTCCTTGGCAGGATTGGTAGAGCCCATTTTAGTTTGCCTAAATTCAGGTCTGTGCAAAAATAATCCACAAGTTTTCAATAGGACTGAGGTTTGTGCTTTGGGACAGTCTTGTCATTAATTTAATGTTAGCCTGTTTTATTCATTCTAAACCAGTTTTAATCTGTGTTTGGCATTATTGTCCTGGTCAATCATATAGTTGTTGATTTGAGGTGGAGTTGAAGAAGGTGGAGGTGGTTCTGCTTCTTATTCATTATTCCAGCCAATTTATGCAATATCAATGCTGTCACTGCCAGAACAGCCCTGGAGCATGATGGTACCACCACCACACTGGTTCGGTGCTAATACATTGTTTTTGGGTTTGAAAGCCTCAACTTTACGCTTCCAACGTTTTGAGCCGTTTACCCACCACGACAAATCTTCTCGTCTGACTAGAAAACTTTTCTCCAGGAGACATTTGCTTGTCCACATGGGCGTCTGCCATTTTCAGTCGAGCTCAAAGGATTGACTTTTGAGCACAGGCTTTGGCACCCTCTCAGTCAATAGTGATGTAAAACACATCTAAACTGGACAGTGATACTGGTGTTCCAGCAGTTTCCAGTTCATGGCAGGCTTCGGACTTCGTGGTTCCTGGGTTGTTCTTGAACACTTTAACCAGCTCCCTCTCATCTCAGGCTAATGGTTTGGGTCTTCTTCCAGTTCTTGGCGAAGTGGTGACGCAACATTAAAGGCCACAAAATTACCATTAAATTCATGCCCACAATGAGTAAATGCAAACTTCTGACTACAGCTGTTGGAGGCATAAACTCGTCAGTCGGTTCATCATTATCGGCGGGACCAAACAGCGCAAACTCATCTTTAAGATTATCAGTAATTACAAACATGCTGGGCACACAGATGTCGTAGGTTCGTGTTAGCTTAGCCTAATGTAATCCTGTTTCACACCCCACTGACAGTGAAGCTAATGTGTTTAACTTTCCTCTCCCAGTGTGATTTCAGCCGTTCTGTTTGGTGCCATGGCTGTCGGTCAAGTCAACTCCTTCGCTCCAAACTACGCGAAGGCCAAACTGTCTGCTGCCCACATCATGATGCTGTTAAACAAGGAGCCTGCCATTGATAATCTGTCAAAGGACGGAGACTGTCCGGTACATGACGCAAAGCCCCGCGCACCCAACACAGCTTTAGAAAAGTGATATTTTACCACATATCTAACTCTTTCTTTTCTTCCAGGACCAGTTTGATGGTAATGTGACCTTTGAGAGGGTCAAGTTTAATTATCCTTCACGTCCTGATGTACCCATCCTGCAAGGGCTGAATCTGAGTGTAAAGAAGGGAGAAACTCTGGCCTTGGTGGGAAGCAGCGGCTGTGGGAAGAGCACCACCGTCCAGCTGCTGGAGAGGTTCTATGACCCGCTGGATGGGAAAGTGGTGAGAAAACAACTGCACGCCCACGCTCTGTGCACTACCTCACACTGATGCCTCATCACCTACTGACAGTTGGGTAATGATTAGCTGGCCAGTGCTTTCCAGTGCTGATATGAAGTCCATGTAACAGGAGCTCTTATCTGGATTACTGCATAAACATTTATCTGGTTGGGAGGGAAATTAATAGTGTGCCTGTTGTCTCGTGTCCTGTTGGTGTTTTTGAACATCATGTGCACGTTGCAGGTTTTCTAGTACGTTTGTGTTTGTCACTTTAAAAAAACAAAAAAAAGTCTCTGGCAAAATAACTCATTAACTGAATTTCTGCATTGATTCAGAATTAATGTAAAACCAATGTTAACTTTTAAATAAGAAGTGACAAGTTCTTCAGCTAAACAAGCTTTTAGCCATTAACAAATCAGACATTTCCTTCAGGGCTTTGTGCAACATCGTTTTAATCACCATCAAATGAATGCTCGTCCAGGTGCCAAAGCATGCAAGCCTATTTGTGCTACTCTTTCTCCTTCAGGTGTTGGACAAATCTGATGCCAAAAACTTGAACATTCACTGGTTGAGGTCCCAGATAGGCATCGTCTCCCAGGAGCCCGTGCTGTTCGACTGCTCTTTGGCTGAAAACATTGCCTATGGAGACAACAGCCGCAAAGTCAGCATGGACGAGATAGAGGCAGCGGCCAAAGCAGCCAACATTCACAACTTCATAGAGGGTTTGCCACTGGTAATGTCATTATACTATTTTATAGAAGATTCCATGTAAAGATAAGGGTCAAATCCAGTGTCAGTAAAACAGACTGGGTGGATAAAGAGGTGGTCAAAAAAAGCAGACTCAGGGTTACAGCAAGAAAGGAGGCTGAAACACTGAATCTAAACAAAGATGGACTCTGATGTCAGCTTTCTTTTTAATGCGTCACAAAGCTGCCTAGAGCTGCCTCTGCCCAGCTACCACAGGGTTTTACTGTGAGGGAAGTTTAGTACAGCCAGGATGTCTTTGTGTTGCCCTCAAAACCTAAAGCCTTAGAATGAGTCTCAACTTTATGCTGTTTCTGATTCAGGCTGTGCACACCAACACTTGATGGCTGCTATAAAATGATCCCTATGAGTGTCACCTACTCCAGAGATTTTTATCATATTGCATGATGATAAAATTATGATAAACATCTAAAGAAGATTAAAAAAATGTAACCGTAAGAGGCAACACTGCTGCCGATAAGATAATAGATGACTACAAGAAATCATTGATTTATTGCCTGAAGCTAACTATACACTTCAAGTTTGTTTTTTGTTGTTTTATGCTCTCTCAGTACTGCTGGTTTTTGATGTGATGGTTTCACATTAGAAACAAACAAAGATCAATTTAACTTTGAAACTTCCGAAATGTCTTCGATACAGTGTTTAAGACTCGTCGTCCAGATCGCTCAGATGGCATTTCTTTTGCTTTTTACGTCCTTTAAAATGTTGAATTTGCTGCTTGTATTTGACAAGCAGTTAACTGGTCAGTGCTGAGACTTTAAAGTGCTCTGATCAGGAGGCAGACTGAAACTTGATAGTAATGTGGTGGTTTCAAAGCATTTTGCTGATGAACTGTAGACTAGATGCTGGTCTGTGGTTTTTGAGAGATCTGGGATCTTGCCACTAATTTAAAATCTTCAAACATTAGTTTAAAAGTATAAAGCACTAATCAAAAAGCACTATACAAACTGTTGTGGTTGCTGTCACTATCGAGTCATCTTTGAGTAATTCTTTCAGCCCTGTATTGTATTTTTGTAGGGTCTTTACCTTACAATATAAAGTGCTTTGAGGCAACTGTTGTTATTTGGCATTGAATAGAGCTCCATCCTTTTGTAAAGGACTCGTGCCTTTCTGTTTCTGCTCAACTACATTAACCCCAAGATGGACGAGGTTGGGTTTAGTAACATTTATTCCACTCTCATGGACCTGAAATATTTTGTCATGATAAAGCTGTAGATGAAAGGTTGGTGTGATTGCCCCCAGGTTTCTTTAAGATGATGTAAAGATAAGGCTTCATAGGTCAGATGGAGATGCTGTAAAGGGGACCATAAGTCAGCTAAAATTAAAAATTGTGAAATGGTGTACAAAGGTAATTACAGCAACAATGCAAGTCTCCTAAAGAGGCCTTTGTGAAAAACCTTTGTTGAAAAACCTTTGATCAGTGTTTTTACTGCTGTGATAAACAAACTTGGTGGTGCTTTATTTTTCCACCTGCAGGTTGAAAAGCATAACTGGGATGGAAATGGCAGCTCAGACAGAACTCAATTGGTGTAGTAAGGTGGATCCTGTGGAGGTCGGGTGTAAAGGGTTTAATGCTAAATCTACAACTAAGCTCCTACAGAGAGTGGGGGTGTGAGGGCAGGCCTTTCAACGAGCAGTCAAGTCACTCTGAGAGTGCTGAACGAAGCAGCAGCTGGTTGTGGACAGGAGTACAGCTAGGCTGGGACATTAAGGGGTGATAGCAGAAGGGGGCACATTACGTGTCATGGGCATAAAATCAATGTAACACTGAGGACAGTGACCACCTGACAATCCCAGTGAAGTGGTTTACCTCCTCTCCCATTCAAGACACCAGAGGAATCTGTACTGATTACTGGAGGGCTTATATCATTAAGCCTTATGAGTCAACAAATGTGAATGGTAATCATGCAGGAGGCCAGCTGAAGATGAATGTGTTATTGTACATGTGAAAATGATTTCCTGCCAGCATTTTATTAACTTGGCAATAAATGTAGCTGCTATTATTATTATTATTATTATTAATAATAATAATAATAATAATAATAATAATAATAATAATAATAATAAACCTCAAAGTATACTTTTTAAGAAATTTGTCAGCTGTGAGGAGTGATTGGATCCATACTTTGTATAGTTTTGACCATCTATAGTAACACAACTATGCCCTCTCATTGTTTTGTTTGTGTTTGTTTTTTTCCATGAGCAGAAATATGACACGCAGGCAGGTGATAAGGGGACACAGCTGTCAGGTGGTCAGAAGCAGCGAATAGCCATAGCCCGAGCCATCCTCCGCAACCCCAAACTGCTGCTGCTGGATGAGGCCACTTCTGCGCTGGACACTGAGAGCGAGAAGGTGAGCACATCTTTCCATTTTCACCTGTAATGCTTGTCAGGGAGATTAAGTAAATGGTGAGTAAAGTCACCAGCTCATACAAACGACTGCTGCAGATAAAATCCACACACAAGAAAATGGGAACAATGGGAAATGTTGGGCTGAGAGAGTTCACATTAAACTTGAGGATGGGAGGAATACAGGAAAGTAGCCATGTTGATAAAGATGACAGCTCTGGTTTAAACTGAAACCATCTTTAGTGCTGAAAACATTCATAGTAGGAGCTCTTATAAGACCATGCTCTCTCTGTAGGTGGTGCAGGAGGCTCTGGACCAGGCCAGCAAGGGCAGGACGTGCATCGTCGTGGCCCACCGTCTGTCCACCATCCAGAACGCAGACCGCATTGCTGTATTCCAGGGAGGAGTCGTGGTGGAGCAGGGGACACATCAGCAGCTGCTGGCAAAGAAGGGGGTCTACCACATGCTTGTCAACAGACAGATGGGACACAGTGACAAATAACCCATAGTGTCCATAATCTTGAGTTCTGGATTAAACACTGGTGCCTTAGATCATCACTCCTCCCATGCAGATTCAGACAGTGGCTCCTGTGGCTTAAACCTAAATGTATAAAGTCTGAATTCTGATTGGCTGTCACTTGTGACTGTCCTTCCCACAAGAGATTTTTGACGTTTGTGGGGTGCAGATGTAAACGGTAAAACTGATATTATTTTTCTTTTTTGGCTTACTCACTGTTGGTGGATACAAGTTGATTAATGTGTACTTTTCCTGCTTAGCTAAGTGGCAGATTTGGCTTCTAAAGAGCCTTTTTGTGCAAGTAGAAAAAGTGACCTTTGAGGTAGATATTTTTACTTGTAGGGAGAACACTGGAATTAAAAATGGCTGCATTCTTTTTAAACAGGCTAAAGTAAATTCAATGACCAGTCCTCTTTGTTCGTTTGTCTATGCACTGGTTTTATGCCTCTGACGATGGGATCATCACTGTCTGGAATAGTTTTGGGTAAAATCTTTAATATTTATACTGTTATGACTCAGTTCAGCGTCTTGGCTTGAGTTGGAGGACCAAAGTACCTGAGCAGTTAAAGCCTGGGAAATGCTGCGCAAATGTTAATTTTCATTTGCGACGTTTCTGTGGAATTCACATAAAATGTAATTTTGTTTCTATTTTTTTAGAGGATGTGCTGCTTTGTAACTGTTAATGTTTTATATTCAAATAAAGGTTAAGAAAGCAAGTGTGGACATCTTCGAACTTTATTCTCAGAAAATTTGACTACAAAAAATTGACTACAGCTTCCCTCAAAGTGGTACAATCACAGTGAAATTTCACCTTATCAAAGCAATAATCACGTTGGTGTGAGGCTCCAAATGTAGAAAGTGTTTCAACAGATTTTTACGTCAGCCACTCTTTGAAACCCAAAGTAAACACCATCACCAACATTTGGACATGAAATTAAAAACAAAGTTGCATAGTGTGTAGAAGGTATTGGTACCTGGAGAAACTGGAAGTCAACCTTGGCTTTAACAAACTTACACGAGTCGTGCCTACTTCTCTCTTTTAATGAGTTTAAATTAGCTCAGTGTGTGCACTTCATGCGATGGGGTACATTCACATCCTCTTGTGGTATTCAAGTGCATTTCCTTCATCTGTAGGCACTGTTTTGACAAGACAATCAAATATTTGTCCAAATAGTCAGTAGAAGCTTGTTTCTGCCATCCATTAGTACAAATTTCAGGTTCTTTTAGTGAAGTAGAAATGTTGAATTAACTCTGCAAAAGCTTTAGAAACGAGCTTCCCTACAGTGTTACGATTCAGTTCAAGCCTAACAGCTCTTTTCTACGGTTACTGGAAAAGAGCTTTTTCACAGTGAAAACTAAGGCGAGTCGTTAGCCACTTAGCGGTTAACATTTTATCTTAAAATGTGGAATAATACTGTCAGGATTTCAAACTATACAGTCAAAACAAAAAACGAGCGTTGAATCAGGAAGAAAGAGGGAAAAAAAAAAAGTACAGTTTACATTATGTTAATAACTACATAATCTTGAGTAATTTAAATTTACATTAAAAAAAAAATACGAGGTACAGATTCTGCACCTTTGCATTGATTCGTGCTGATCTAGCTGTCACCATTTAGTACAACTACAAGTGCATTGATATTTAAAACAGGCTCTCTGTGGTACAACATGGACATAAAAACAAACTGAAAACTTAGACATTTTTGATTAAGGATTTTCACCAGCATTAATCTGCAAGTGTTGCATCTTACTGTATTTTTTTACCCTTTTATTACCATCCTTTGATAATGTATCTGATTGAAGCGGGCGGTTCTCAAAGGGATCATTTTGTGTGGGTTGAAACAGGAGTCATTAAATTATCCCGTTTCCCCGCTTAAGTAGGTTTATAGCTGAGAAGTGGTGGCTAAGTGGAGCATCTCATGCAGGCAGCTACTGAAGCTATTGAACAGTGATGGAGCATCAGTCTCATGGCAGGATTTCCACGCTGACATGGAGATCACAATCCTAGAAAAAAGAGGAGCGGAGATCTGAATACAGCTACTGAAAATCTCAGAGGAATGTTTCCAGAACCTTGTTGAGTCTGTCATGAATAATTAAGACAGTTGTGCAGGTAAACCTGGGTGCAACACAGTATTTGCAAGGTGTACCTAATAAAGTGTCCAGTAAGTGTATACATCTTTAGCTTGCTTTTTATAAATTCTACAGAACTGGCAAATCTCACATATGCAGCACAGGTTCACCAAAAACCCACACACAGGTTTTCAGGTCAGTGAAAGCCCGTTTCATGTGCTCACCTGTCATCCCTGATGCGGTAAAAGAAGCCGTAGCCATGCTGCACCATGGGAGCCACAGCCCCGAGAACTGTAGTGTAGCCCACCAGACTGGATGACAGCACGAAGTTACCCCCACCGCCACTGCAGACACAAACAACAGTCACAGACAGAAGCCTAATGCACTGCCTTTGCTCTGCAGCAGCTACTCTGGAGAAGCAGATTTCTGGATACTGCACTGTAACATTCTAGGATTTAATATTTAATTAAATTATTTCCAATAGATCATACATTATAAACTAGTAGAGCAGAAATTTAATTTACTGCTTTCATGCGATAAATCAGCTCTGGGTGGCGTACCTCTTTGTGTAAAGGGGATCCATAAATAATTCTGGGGTTGGACGTCCCTCCTCCTTGGCAATAAGATACAGCCCCAGAAGATGCCTGTCAAAACCTGGCAACAATATCACACGACCGCATGAAGTAGGGCATAAAAACTCAAAGAGACTACAAATATGGTTCTTTGTGATGTCAGAAGCCTTGGTTCAGCCCGCAAGTCCTACATAGGGAAGCTGATGGGCTAAACGATTTTGTACAACAGATAAATGTAGATGTTGAACTAAAGCAGATTTTTACTGGCTCAGAAGAGTCCAGTGGGGGGTGTAGCAGCTCCGTTTTGCTCAATCAGGCGAACAAAAATTAAGCCAACAAGTTTAATATCAGAAACCAAACTACCAGTGATCAAAGTCATTGTTTTATTGATGATACTTTGGCCCTACATCTCTATTCTGCACACTGCTTGTAGCTGCACCTCATATCTGAGACTAAAACGGGACAGTCAGGGCCAAGTGTAGTCAGGAAAAAACACGAAGCAGGAATCACAAAGTGAACTAACCTTGTCCTTCCTGTGCTTCAGCCATCAGGTTGTTGTGTCTACTGAAGGCTTGCAGCATGGCCTTCCTCCTGACACCATCCTGAGAGGAAAACATTTAAGTCGAATATGAGATTGCTTCTTCTCTCCTGCTCTTCTGTGATTTTCCCAAATACTGTCACACACTCACATTGCATGTGGGGTCCGTCATGGTTTTACACCAATTCACAGCCTCCTGGGTGCAGGGGCGCATCGTCTCAGTCCTGCCGTGATAAAATTTGCGCGTCATTGCCGTCTCATAACAACTTCCTGGCCTGTAAGAGGAAAGAGGACACCTTCAGGGCCACGAAGGTCACTGACAATAATGATAATAAAAGTGTGTGCTTAACCACAGCTTACTTCTTGTGCAGTCTGTAGTAGGCCAGCTGCATCGCTAGCTGAACAAAAGTGTCTGGATGGAGCTTCTTCTGTTTGATTGTAGATTTACCAAATGCTGTGAAAGCATAGCACACAACCTGGAGGTCTTGTGCCTGGAAAACCGAGAGAGAACGAATGGTTAAATGCTCTGGACCACACAGCAAACGTCAGCATGACTGATGACGCCTGCAAATAATCAATTTCCCATCTTATGTTTCCGCTGCTGTGCTTCTAATATGTTTTCGTTGTTCAGCCACATGGAGTTTAACTCAATCAGATTTTCTTCTGCAGGAAAATAAAATCAGTGAAAAAAAGGCTGCACACCATTTCAAATGTGACTTTTTTCAAATTTCAATCCTAACCTTGCATCACAGATTCAGTGTTTGCAGTTAATCTATGGAGGATTTTAGTTTCACCACAGCAGGAACAGCTCAACAACATCCACTCTCGTACTATTAGGCTGTTCAGAGGAGTGTCCTGTGTGCGTGTGTTTTCTCAGGTTTTTATATGTGCAGCTTTTTAAACTGTACCATAATAACATCAAGAATTACACCCCGCTTTAAAGACACAGCAGTTCAAACTGTGCATCACACTGTCGTTGAAACCTGACTTTAAGACGATCACTGAAATGTATAAAGGTTATCACACTTGACTCTAATCTGCGGCTAAGAACAGAGGACACACAACATGAAAAGCTGTTCAATCAATAAAATTCATTTCACTTTGATCTACACCAAACTGAAGTGATTTCCACGTCTCTAATCAAGTTTCATATCTGTAATCTGTAGCTGTCATGTCACAAATAAACAGCAGCACCAGGAGCATTAAAACAAACTGAAACATTTTTTCATTGAGGATTTTCACCAGCATTAATCTGCAAGTGTTGCATCTTACTGTATTTTTTTACCCTTTTATTACCATCCTCTGATAATGTATCTGATCGAAGCGGGCGGTTCTCAAAGGGATCATTTTGTGTGGGTTGAAAGAGGAGTCACATGACGTGTGAAAAGCCCCTTTTTTTATGTGAGCGCGCTCAGAGCGGAAAGCCTAGCTTAAAAGAGAAAGTTACTGATGACTGTTGTTATAACCGTCATCTCCGTGTGGGGTTTTAGGTGTTGAACTTCCTTCATAGTACACTAGTACCTAATAATATTTTATCCATATATAAAGATAAAACATTTTATTATATTCTTACATGACTATATTCTAGATCCTTTTTTTATATTTCATATCTTTAGATTTATATTTATTTATTTTATGTTAGACTCATGTTGTGCAGTCTGATGACGAGTAAAAGCACTGAATTTTTGCTCTGATATAACTTCTGAATGACCTTAAAGTGGCTTTTCTATGCTATTCTATTCTATGAGGTTTCTGTAAATGTGTTTTCACATCTTTCCTTGACAGAATTATGTGTTTTCCAGCAAGTTCATGGAAACGTGCCTATTTTGCCTATTTCAAGACAGCCTATTCAGTGTCATCAGGGGTTTTCTGAGGTTTCATTTGGGATTAACGATAGCTCACCGACTCGATGTATTGCTTTTTGGCATGACTGATATCGCCAATGACTTTTTCATCCATAGTGAACACCAGCTCCTCGGGGAAGGACACCGGTCTGACTGCATCTGAGCCCTGAAAATCCCAGACATGCATGTGTGTCAGAAAAATGAAAAGAATAGTCAGGAAATGTTTGACACGATGTGCACCGTCAAGTGTTTACCTTCCATTTGCCCTCTGTAGCTTTGAGCTGCTGGTCCAAATACCAGCACATAGACACCAGCACCATAGCATCATACGGCGCATGCTGCGAAACAAGTCGAGTTTTTAAGGTATTAAAACAGCTGATTTTGGTTGGACTGCATGTTTCACTGGCAAATCAATGAGTACAATCATCTTGAACCTCAGCGCAGCTTTGTACGAACAAGCACACTCACATCACAATTGGATCCGAATGTGCCATCTGAGAACACGACTGAGTTGTACGATTTGTCACCCCAGCGGATGGTGGGGTTGCCGGTGAGAGCTTCTGCAGTCATCTGAACTCAAAAGTACAAAATTTGGAAAGAAAATAAATAAACAAGTAAATCAGACACAACTCTTTCTCATGATTTAAATGGCGAGTCATATTTTAGATCTGCGCA